CAACTACAATGATTACAAGACCTTCATGTCCCACAGATCTGGCTAATGACACAATCTGAGTACAGCTACAATGTAATTAGAGGATTCTGCCCCTTACCAGAAGGCTGAGACTTAAGGTGTATTTAACAAGGCAATTAGGGGTTCAAAAATCCACCATATAGTACGTAACACACTTAAAAGCATGTCTGAATATCATGTTTGCTCTGTGTCTCTTTAAACATTTGTTTGGCTAATCAACCACTTTTATTTTTTTTTAATACTGAATCTATCTGGGATGGCTACATGTTCCAACTGGTATTTCTTTCGTGAGGAAATGGCCTCCATTTGCACCAGGGGAAATCTAGGTTGGATATGAGGAAAAATTTCTTCATGAAAAGGGGTGCCAAGCATTGGAACAGGCTTCCCAGGGAAATGGTTGAGTCACCATCCCTGGAGGTGTTTCGAAGACTTGTAGATGTGGCACATGTGACGATTTAGTGGTGGGCTTGGCAGTGTTAGGTTAATAGTTGGGCTTGATGGTCTTTCTCAACCTAAGTGATGCTCTGTATTTCAAAATAAAAGCAAAAATTCTTAAATGATGAACAAGAATTAGAAGTGCAAGGTTTTTGTGACTATCAGAGTTTAATTACCACTGAGATAATGTTGCCACATAGAATTACTTTCTCATGTGCCAGATCAGTATTTCTAAGAGTCAAAGAGGACTTTGACACAGAAAAAACACCTTCTCTCACAGATGGCCACAAAACCATACGTCAAACTATCCCAACCTTACGATTTGTATTTGTTCAGTGGACTCTCAATTTACCAAAAAAGTGAAAAGGAGACATTACTCCGAGACTACTAATTCTGCAAGTCATAGATTGTATGTGAGTCATTTGTACATTGGCTAACACCTTTTCAGAGGACCGGAGGGTCTCTGAAGCTTAACCCAATTGTGTGTCCTTCTATGTATATCTGCAATGGGTGAACTGACATTTCCTCCATCTCCTCCTCTTTATTAGAGACTATTTTCAAGCTAAAAGAAAAAAACCCTCACTTTTCCATACAAATTCCAATGACACGTCACCACTTGCCACCCTCTGTCCCATAGTTCATTGAAATAATGTCCCTTTAAGCCATCCATTCTCTTGTAAATGGGAGGCTAAAGATTGAAAGGGTACAGCACCAGACAGAAAAAACTCAGGTACAAAGGTTGTTATAGCTGGCATTTGGACAAACCAGAAGCAGGACACACATTGATTGGAGGAAGTCATCCAGATACTTCAGCTGAATCAATTCTTCCTATATATGAATTACAGAGATTAGAGATTCTCATGTAGAGCATTCAGGCCTACATATCCCTTCCTGTTAAATAAGAATACAATGCATTGAGTTAAATACTCTCAAATATTTCTCTCAGCTTATCCACTACAGAGAGATGGTAGAATTACTTGTCTTTAGTAACATGTAACTTAGAAAATATTATTTTGTTTAAATACTTTTCTTAACCCTATTATCTGTTTATAAACTGAGATGTTGATAAACTAAACTTTTTTATTATATTCAGACAAATAATTTCCAATAATTTCCTCCAAGAAAACAGTGAAGGTTGTTTTCTATGAGCTCTTACCTAAACATATAATGAATCTCAGCTTGCCTTATTGTCCCAGCACTCTTCATATATGGTAAGGGAGATGTGCAGGTAAGGGTGGAACTCAGAGCAGGTAAGGAACATGAGCAGGTAAGAGCTACTGTAAGAATATGTTCTATTTTATAAACATTGCATGTATTTGCTTTTGTTTCATTTTTAACAGCTAAAACGTTATTCTCAACATCCCTCATCCTATCTTTATTTGATCAGTATCTGCCATGGAATTTAGCCTTGAAAATGGATTTAAAAAGAAGGAAATAACGAAAAGCTTTAAAGCCAGCTGGGAGGCAAGGTCACATTCTGAGAAGCACAGTTAAAAGCAGCAAAGCCAGGATCACTGGGACGTGGAGGTTTTCACTATCACCTAACATATATTAAAAAAAAATAACAACAGATAGGTCAAAGAAGGGCTTTGAAGCTGGGGCCCAAGACTATGTATGAGAGCAAAGAGCAGAAAAGAGGTGAGGGAAGTGGGGAAGAAGCGTTTCAGAACAACATGTGCCAGAGGAAAGCAAGGCTGGGCAGTGAAGGGCAGGTAGCCTGGAGAGCAGGCTACAGAGAAACAGGTTGCTTTGGTGCCATTCATGTGGATCAAGTAAATCATTTCAGATTCCAGCGGAAGGACATACCATCCCCACACCAACTCAGTGGGGAACAGTCCATTCTTTTCCTGCAAGACAGGCTTATTTCATTTTAATATTTCATTTTAAATTAAACATGTTATTTGCCAGTGCAACCTAAATTGAAACAAGTATTACATGCATGTTTTTGCTAGTTTAAGTGAACATTTTAAAATTCTGTCTGTGAGAAATCACATTGCCCTGCCTAGGTCAGACCAATCCATGCAGTTTTGGTCTAAATCTCTAGTATGATATAATACAACTAGAAAAATGTCAGAAGAGAGTAATGAGGAAAGCCAGAGGTACAGATTGGCTCCCAGAGAAGGAACACTGAATATGCTAGGGCTTGTCACCTTAGAAAAGAGATTATAAGAGACTGACATCTATAAAATCCATCAGCACAGTAGCAGAGTATGGATCAATTGCTCACTTACTCTTTCAAGAAGTGAAGCAGCACTTGAAGCTGGGAGAAACCATGCTCAAAATGAAAAAGATTACTTCTTATGCAAGAGCTTTGGGTAAACTGGACAAGAAGAAATCCAGTCTTGCTAAACAAGCAGAAAATATAGGCCATTAGCTGTAGATGGCTGGGGAATGGGAGACTATTAGGAGGCATTCCCATGTATGTCTAGCCTTACCTGCTAGTGGTTGCTCCTCGGGACTGGAGGATATCGGGCTGTAATATTATTAAAGAATAACCAGCTTGTTCTTGTATCATAGTATTCTCTGCATTTTACTAAAAATGTAGCGTTGTTTCCTTAGGAAGGGAAGTATAATAATTCTCAAAACATTTTGCAATTCACAATTCAACTTTTATGCACAGCATTTGGCTGTTGCTAAACCATTTGTGTTGAAAGATTTTCATTTTACTGGATTTTCAGTTTTGAAATATCATCCTAATTGCAGACACAGTTATACCCATATGAATGCTAGAACTGGTGCAATCTTTCCTCGTATTTCTAAAGCATTTAATTACTGTAGCGATAGACATATCCAAGTCCTGACTAATGTTGTTGGCATTTAATATTTTTGTTTATAGCAGATGTAAGATGGTGCATGAATCAGGATAAAACTGATGTTAAGATTTTATTTGTAAGTTGATGAAATGTGTTGTTGGATGGTAGTTGTGCTACTGTAACCTGAATGGTCAATCCTTCTGCCTCTTTGCATGTTTCCTACATGAAATATCTTGAAAATCCTGAGGACATCCTGCACCCTCATGAGGCTGTACAGCCTTGTTACCTAAAATGTACTGATGCAAATGGAATGAGATGGCACAACAGACAAACTGTTCAACTCATCACACACTGAATGTAAGGAATGTAAAGCCCAGTTCCCAGGCTGTCAAAACCAAACACCTTGCAGAGAGCCTAAAAGTGTGGATGATGCATTTCTTTCTCATACTCTCCCAGTGTCCAGTAGGTATGCTAGCAGATAAGAAGAGATCACAAAGTCCACAATTATTATCTGAGAAACCCTGTCCCAGCGATTGCAGGCTTTGCAATGGACTTTAGAGAAATGAATTTCATGCATTTTACTGATAAGCTCTGAGTATTCTAAGTAGAGCTGAATAGTCTATCGCTCAGTGTTTTATGTAGGAAATCTCTCAAACCTTGTGCATCATCATATACAGTCTCTGCAGTAGAGGCAAGGATAAAATATTGTTCTATAGGGCAGTATCCTTTGGTCTGCTCAACAGCGCACCTTCCCTTGTCTTCTACCAACCTCCTAAACAATCTCTATCTCTCTCAACAAGTCAGCAGGTATCCCAAATAACACAGTCTGCCTAACTCCACAAAGATGTTTTCCCAGCTTATATCCTGATCTGGTGCCTGAAGCAGGTCTCCACAGGAAAGAAATCTGTGAGTAAAGCCCAGTTATCTCTATCACTGTACCCTATCACACCTGGCTGCTTCCCAATGCTTTCCTCCCTCCCCATCCAAACCGTGCCTCCAGAGCCTCACTCTGACCTTCCTGCCTCACCCTGCCTCCTCCCAGCCCCTTTGTTCACCAGGCTTTACTTTCATTTTGACTCCCTGTCTTCCCTGTCCCCATTCTCTCACCATTTTAAGCCCTCCTTTTACTTCTTCCCTATGCGGGTGGTGAGGCACTAGAACAAGTTGCCCAGAGAAGTTACGGATGCGCCATCCCTGGAAGTGTTGAAGGTCAGGCCACGTGGGGCTCTGAGCAACCTGCTCTAGTGGAAGCATGCCCCCCCATGGCAGGGGGATTGGAACCAAGTGATTTTAAGCTCCCTTGCGACCCAAACCGCTCTGTGACTCTGATTCTGCTCCGGCCACTACTCCAATATGCCTTGTTCAGCCTTTCCACTTCTCTCTCCCACTCCCGGTTCTACCAGACTTTGGCTGCGGCATCCTTTGTCGCAGGTTTTTGTGGCGATGCCCTTTCCTCCCCTCACTTTCACTCTGATCCCCAGCAACACGCAGACACTCCTCTCCTCGTGGGGCGTCACTGAGCACACAAGAAGCCGCACACAACCACGGCTGCCCTCTACCCCCACCTACAGCTCTCGCAAGCATAGCCACCCCGCAGCCGAGCAGCCTGGGGCGCCGACAGGCGGAGCGGGACACCCAGCTCGGGTGAAGCAGCTGCGCCTGTAGAGCGGAGACCTCCTCCACGTCCGCGGGGAGCTCCCCGGCTCAGCCGGCGGGGCCGGGGCCGCCCTCCGGCCGCAGCGGGGCGGGCTCGGGCGGGCTCGGCCCCGGCGCTGCCTTCCGCCGGAACTGCCGGCAGGGCTGTGCCCCGGCGTGGGTCTGCCCGCAGGGATGGTGCAGGACCCGGGCGGGAGGCTGGTGGCGGAGCTGCTGCTGCGGGCGGGGGCGGCCCGCGACATCCTCTGCCTCTGCTCCCGCGCCTTCGTCGAGTGAGTAGCGCCGGGCGGGGGCAGGTTCCCGCCGGGGAGCTGCGGGAGGGGCCGCGCTGCTGCGGCCGTGGGGAGGGGAGGGGAGGGGAGGGGTGCGCGCAAAAGGGCCCCGATAGGTCGTGTTTACCACAGGGTACCAGCTGGGGGTGAGCAGAAGAGGGCGAGGGGAGCCCCCCCAAACGCCGGCTCTCGTGGGGGCCCTTGCCGGAGCCGGCCGGATCCCGCTCCCCCCTGGGCGTCCCCTTGTCCCCTTCCCAAACGGGTGCGGGGGGAACATCATCCTGGTGTCATCCTGAAAGGATCCGGAGCTGACCCTCCTCATCCTCAACGAGGGAAGGAGACCCTAAAGTTTAATTCCAGTGTGTTCGGCGTAGCTGCGACGTTTTCTGGGCGTCTCTCCTATGGGCTTTCCCGTCAGGCATTAATTAAAGTGTTGCCTTTTCCAGATTGTCCTTTTTATTTGTTTCGCATGTTTAGAGTCACAGGGCAGCCCATGTGAGAAGGGACCTGGGAAGGTCTCCTGGTCCAGCCTTTCGTGGGAGTGCAAGCCTAGATGAGTTTATTAAGTACCCCATCCTGTCGCATCTTGAAACCTCCTGTGATGGGGACTTTACTGTATCCCCAGGGAGGTTTTCTCCACGGAATGATTGTTTTTACTGTAAAAAAAAGTTGTTTTCGTGATGACTTTCTGCATCAATGTCTGTCTTCATTTTTACAGAGATCGAAAATTATATAAACTGGGATTAAAAGGATTTTATGTCAAAGATGACAATGACAGTACAGGTAACATAATGAAATGTACTATGCAATGTGATGTGCAGTCATACTGGAAGTGAGTTATGTGTGGTTATTTAAGTTCTGAATAATAGCTTAGCACTTGCATGGCTTTCAGGTTACCTTAATCTTGATGTGGAAGTTTGTGTCAAACCAGGTGTGATATTTATTCCTGGCCAGACAGACTTTATCACCTCACATAATTTTCCCGTGGTGCATGGAACAGATTACCTCACAGGTCTCTGACCTGTTCTCAGATCATAATTTAAACCAACCCAAAATTAATTGCATAATGGAGGGTCGGTAGATCCTACATGTTTGCCTGGGAGCAGTTCTGTCCTGCTGTCTCTAGCCCAGCCTAGGACATTAGCTGTTGCTGATTAGTCTGCTGGGCCAGAAGTAGAGAAGAAGCAATAGCAATGATGGGGGAAATTATCATTTGCAAATATACAAGGAATCATATGAGGAGGGCCAGAAGAGTAAGTCTCTCTCTTGGCATGCTTATTTCAAGGAATTCTCATGGCGTATACTCTGACAAATTCAACACCACTCCCTTACTCCATCGTGCTGAATTCCTCATATAGGCCTATATGAAGCATAATTCTTTTGGTATCTGTTTTTTCTATTGCTGTGTTGGTAGGTCCAGCAGCATATTAGCTTGATTTGAAAGGAAGTCTGAACAGAAATAAAAGCCGACAGTTAATAGCACAGATTAGACGGAGACAGTGTGAGAGGAGTGAAGAAGAAGAATGTAAACCATGTTTTTGTGCATATCTGTGAGTGAATTGTGGTGAGAATAATTAGTTAAAAACAGAAGAGTCTTGTGTTATGTGATAATTCAGCAGTAAATATATCATAAACAATAAAACCAAAAATTATTCAGTATTATCAGCTGTGTCAAGAGCTTCTGATTTCGTAATTTCCCTCAATATGCAGTTCCTACTTTCTCAATAGTATTAATGATTTTGTATACATATGATATTGCTTAACAATTTGACAGTGTGCAAGCAGTTGATCAGTTACCTCTAAGATAATTAGGTTCTGTAGTTCACACATTACGTATTTGTAAAATCATGTTATCTCTGTCAGTGTGGTTTTGAAAGATTTGTAACAAAACCAGCGATTCCTTGCTGCAACACATACCACAAGAACTCCAGTAAAGAATTTTTGGGTTATAATCCTGGTTTTTCTGTTGTTTGCTGGGCATTATTGCATTTTGCTCTGCAAGTTATTGAGGTGAATGTTTGTGGTGGGTTGACCCCAAGCACCTTCACCCTCTACCCCAGTTCTTACCGCTGCATATCACATTATATGGTGTGGACCATCCCTTCATCCAGTTTCCATCCGCAGTCCCAGCTGTGTTCCCTCCCAGTCTCTTGGCCATCCTAGCCTACTCCCTGGGGAGGGCAGAGTGGGAAAAAGAGAAAGCTACGAGGCTGTGCAAGCACTGCTCAGCAATAGCCAAAACATCGGTGTGCTATCCACACTGTTTTAACCACAAATGCCAAACACAGCACCAGAGGCTTCTATGAAGAAAGTTAACTCCATTCCAGACAGACACAGAGCAGTGTTTTGGCTATCAAAGTTACATTTTGGTTCCTGCTGATAGTTACAAAGAAATTGAGGTATTTATGAGGAAGATTTTAAATGGGAAAGGAAGCATAAGAGGCAGTTTTGCTGTTTTTTCTATGCCACACTGTGGCACTGAAGGATGAGTACCAGATTATATTCATAAGTAACGTAACTGTTAACAGGGGAAGAACAAGCATCTGAGGAGGAGAACCATTGTCTCAATATGAGATTGAAGGTGGATTCTAATCATGCTCTGGACCCAGAAGAAGTTGAACTAGACTCAGAAGCTGAGCTTATGAAGAGCATGGGGTTGCCTCTTCAGTTTGGTGGGCAGTCGGCCCAGAGGAACTTTGTGGTAAATCTTTGTTTTCTTTATTTGTTCTGTTTGCATTGTGTTTCCAGACGTCAGGGTGTGCCTCCTCTCGGTTATTTTTGGGATGGCAGTTCAGGGAAATGTATTCGAGTTGCCTTTAAACTGCCTGCCTCTCTTGCTTGTAAAAGCACACAGAACTTTGGTCTGTTTGTAAAATCCACCTGCCAGTTTGATTAAACAGTGCTTTATGCTTCCGTATCTGTATTGCTCGAGTGACTAGAGAGACCTGATTTAACACAGCGGTGGTAATGCTGGTGCTGATGTATCAGGAAACTAGAACACTCCAGTCTGAGCATGCATTTCATGCTGTCTGCTTTAATTGTTTAGCTTTTGATACTAATATAAAAAACTGGTTTTCAAATCCCCCTTGCAACTGATAAAGCCAGGCTGTTCCAAAGGGCAGGAGTGAGGCTTTGGTGCTCTGCTTCTCACAGAGAACATTTGAGCTTTAGAAGGGGACTAATGTCTTCACAGATAAGAAGAAGACTGTGGGACATTTAGTGTCCACTTTATGAAATACAGACCTGCCTGGCAGTGAGAGAGCACTTTTGTGCAGAGCACTGCATGGTTCTGACCTGATTATTTTGTAAATAAATAGGAGAAACTGGTATGGGATTTAAAGTGGTGGCATATAAATAGACAATACAGACATCCAACTTCAAGCCCAAGGTATATATGCAATTTTTGTTACTATGTAGTAATATTGCAAATAAGTTGAATGGGAAGATAATACTTTTTTTTACTAGACTACTGCTAAGCATTGTGCTTTGGTCTGGGTGTTTTAACATGACATTATGACGGATGAAGATGAAAGATTAGTGCCAGTTCTCTGATTCTATCATCCTTATATAACATCCTTATTCTTTTGTCAATGCAACAAAATTAGGGATTACAACTGATGGGACGTTTGGAGTAATATCTGTGCATTTGCAGTCTTGCCTGTGTGAATTCGTCTGCAAAACAAGTGGAGTTATATTTCATGAAATCACCAGGTTACCTTAGTGTTCCTTTCTGTAACAGGTTTCTGTTCACTACATAACCATAGTAGCCAAGTTTGTTGTAATAAGTGAAATGGTTATGTTGCCCAAATGAAAGGGCCACCTGTTTAGGGAGGAGGCTGTTTTTCCCTTGTGTTTATGTTTGGGGCAGTGTCTTCAGACATATCAGAGATTCAGCTGCAGGATTTACAGAGTTTATGAGTATAAAGTGATGCTTTTTTTGTGTACAGCACCCAAAGATAGCAAGGATTTAACGTTCTGTGAGGCTGAGCATCATATGTTTGCTATCCTAATAAGACAGTGTTTGCTGGTCAGGCAGATACTGGGTGAAAGTAAGGGTCTGCCTCCATAGCCCCCTAAAACAGGTCCTTGATGTTACTGAGATGCTATTGCTGTTGAGCTCAAACCTGTGACCTCTCAATTCCTGACCAAATTCCCTTTAGGATTTTACAGTGTTTCATGTTGATGTCTTTCCTTCTGAATCCTTGAGCTACTGATGACTTCCCTCTCAGCAACCCTGCTTCTGTCTGTAATTCTACCTTTTTTTTTTGTGCATGTCTTTCTACAGACTTCCTTACAGCTCTTTCCACAACTTCCTCAGAAGTGTCAGACAGGGTTAAGCAGCAGGGCCCTTTCAGACCCAAAACCTCTACTGCCTTTTTGGGGAGATACCTAATAACAGCAGGGTTGCACTGAGAGGGATGGTTACAACGGAAGGAGAAATGTGCTCAAAGAGAGGATGAGACTGTAGATACATTTTGGACTTCTAAGAGTGTTTTTCCATTTTATTTTAGGAAAAAGAAAATTATAAAAAGAGAAGTAATATGAAATTTATGAAAAAGAAAAAGAAGAAGAAGAAAAATGAGTTACAGCGAAAATGTGAGGATAAAAGGGGGCAGGAATGCCAGGATGAAGGTTGTGGTGGTAGTATCCAGGCCATTTCTGGTGAGCTGGCCCTTGCAACAGAGCAGTGTGAGGTGAGCAGCAAACCTCAGATTGTAATTGAAGAGAACTGTGAAAGTTCAGAAAGCCTTGCAAATGAGGCTTTATCCAGTGAACTTAAGGAAAAATGGGAGAAGTACTGGAGCGAGTATGGAGAAGGCCTTCTTTGGCAAAGTTGGTTGCAGAAGCATCAAGAGGTCTCATCATCTGAAGCCATCACAGCCTCTGAGCCTTGGAATAATCTGGACACCAAGGGAGAGTGGGAGCAGCATTATAACGAACTGTACTGGTATTATTGGGAACAGTTTCAGTACTGGACAAGTCAAGGATGGACTATTGAGAGCTCACCTGGGGACAAGGTGGAAGTTAATGGGGTTGCAGAGGAGACTGGTCTTTCAGGAGAAATGAACTTGGTTAGCCCCGAGCCTGACTGCAGTGAAGTGCTGAGCTTGGAGCTGTCTCCCTCTAACACCAGAAGTGATGAAACACTCCCTTCAAATGCTGAGCCCCACAGCGAAATCATTTCTGGGATTTGTAATTTAAATCTGAATTTAAAGGAAGTGGAGCAGAGCAGTGCAGCTCGAACAGTAGCCCACCACGGTCATCAAGAGCACAGTTTGTCCGACTGTGAAAGCCAGAAGGAGCCCTGTGATGGAGGAACCCGGAAAAGGAGTGCATCTTGTGAAAATAAAAGTGTTAACCAGTCAGGTAATACAAAATCAGCTAAAATTGATTCTATCAAAGTTTCTCTGTGTGGTTATATATCAGAAACAAGGGCACATCTGTAGTATGCCATTTTAAAAAAGTCAATCAAGCATTTTGTGGAATGACTGTATACTTGATTCCTTTTTCTTCCCTCTGCTTCTCTGGATGATTTCTCTCATCTCTAACCTGTATATTGAATGTGTTCTTCAACCAGAAGTGATTTTAGCAGAACATGTACTTCATAAATCTTCAAATGTACTACAGAAAGCGATGAGAGAGCACTGTTAGTGCACATTTATTTATCTTGGTATTGCAGCTGTGTCATGCAGCTGATATGTCTCTTCTTACTGATAGTCTAAAATGAATGAAAATTCAGGTTGATGTTCTTAAGAATCTGACACGTTTTAAGAACAGCTTGCTAAGAAAAAAAACAGTTCTGCAGTTCTGGGGTTGGTGTTTGCTTTAGTTTTTTGCCTTCTGTCTAAAAATGCCATACTTACAGTTTTCTTTTGTTGTACTTGGTTACTGTGGACAGATGTGTTGCAGAGGTCCTTTCCAGAAGGGAGTTATCAATTAAGCTATGAGCTGCAGTCATCTTTAAACCTTAAATTCATATATTCATAACTATGCTAACATGGGAAAGTGCCAGGTAGTAGTGAAGCAGTGTGGTGAAAGCCAATGGCTGTTCCTTACACTGCTTCTGTGAGGGATATAAAAGATGGGGCTTCTCATCTTTTTTGCCAGTCAGTTAGTTCAGCATGCAGAGAGACAACCATCTCCTTTGCTTGCCGGTTCTTGCCAGCATTCATTGTAAACAGCAGTGTCACATCTTTCCTGACTGTTGGATGTTTTCTCCTGTGAAGAGAGGGGATAAAACACGAATTGCTAGCAACTCAGGACTTCAGTTTGGTGGAAAACCTCTGAGTCTGCTGCAAGTGAATTTCTGAGAGGAAGAAGCAGATGTGGTCCCACCTTGATCCTACAGTAGAGTTGGAATGGGAGAAATGAAAGGAAAATCTCCAACAAGAAATGTGTTTAAATCTTTTGTTATTAAATGTACCTTTGCCTAGCTAATGGGATGGAAACAAAATTTTTCATAAAGGAAGAAACTGTTTCAAATTTTTTACCTTGTAGGCATTTTATTTTTCTTATAGAGCTGAGATAATTTAAAGTTGGTCCTATGCAAGATTTTTAACTAAGATTTGTAACTAATACCGGAAACTTTTTTGGTATGTTGTCCCTCAAACAAAGACAGGTAAATATATGTATGTTTAGCATTTGTGCCTTATTTGTCAGATTCCGGTATGGATGACAACCTAACTGTAGCTGCAGATGTACTGTGGGGACAGGAAGATAAGGAATTGATTTATGCAGATGGAAAATATGATCTATCTTTTTTTAGGTTCACAGGAGTCGTGTAGCATGAATTCAAATGAGAAAGAGCAGTTGCTGCTCCATGACCAAGATGAAGATGAGGATGAAGAGCCTCCTGAATACAGACATGTCAAAGTCAAGAGAAGGCAAGTCATGAAATTTAAATGAGCTTTTTTTCTTAAGAAGCCAGGTCCAGAAGCCTTCTGAATTTATAGTAACTATATCTTTGATTGAGGATGTGAGTTAAAATGTCAGTACAAAATCGCATAGTCTTCCATCACTCCTTTATCACTTTGCCTCACAATGAGCAGTGGATGTTTCTTCTCTTCTGTTGCTTTATGAAAACACTGTATTGCCTCAATGACTGTGCAAGGTGATGGTACTATTCTTATGTCACTGAAGGATTCAAGATTGTTAAATTGCACAGGAAAATCTAGGTCTAATTAGTGTAGACAATGCAAGAACAAAGGTAAATAATTTGTATTTTTTAAATGAATTGTATGCTGCCTGTAAAATGTTCAGAGCTATAGCAGTCATAAAATAGCTGATCCCTGTCTTGTCACTGTCTTTTTCTTTCTTCTCTAAAAATCTGTAGCATCAAAGATGATGAAATGGCTCTTCCTGTCTAATAAATTTGCAAACTGAAAGGTGGAGGAATGAATGGATTGTTAGCTGCTAATCATGTAGCTTTGGGTTTGTTCTAGTATTTTCCTGTTGCCATAGCACTAATAATATAGTTAATGTAATAGGTGATGAAGGCAATTTGGAAATAGAATGAACAAGTACTATCTTCATCAGTTCCATGTAAGGTTTAATATTAAATATTTTAAGAGGTCACTCAGAATAGTTGGGATATTATAATCCCATTAAAACGACATATGAGCCTAGAATTGGGTGAAAAAAACCCAGAACCTCACGCACAGACTGGTGTTGTCTGCTTTGTTTGGTTTCAGCAGTGTGTGGAGGAGCTTAGTGAAGCCCACATTTAAATGTTTTCAATACATGAGGCTTTTAGTGGTATATCTGCAAAGTAAAAATCTTTTTTTTACAGTAAGTGACTTCGTCATCTGTGGTTTTTTCCTAGCCATGAACTGGATGTGGATGAGAACCCAGTCGAAGATCCTGAAGAAACCTGCTCTGTGTTGGGTTTCAAGTGTGGCACAGGACAAAAGTAATTACTTATGAGGAACTCAAGGTTTCTTCATAGCAAGTCAGCTCTCTTGTTATTATTGAAATAGACCATCCATCTCCATTTCCATTTTGTTAAACTTTCAAAGATAATTTCCAGAGTTCGTCTTTGCTCTTAATAAAACTGTCATTCTTTGGCTAGAGAGAGAGATGCAGAGTTACAGATACTAAAGTGCTTTGAAGCAGAAGCATACCTCGTACTTGCAGTCATGTAAATGTTAAATGGCTGGTCAGCTACTTAAATTAGAACTTAAAGGCTCTGACAATGAATGGTCCTATCAATTAGGAGTCCTGTGAGCTTAGACAATCATTCATATCTCTTTTATATTAGAAAAAGGTTGCTTTATACTAGTGAAATGTTGCTGTATTAATAAAGTGTTGCCAGGGTGTTGACCAGACAAATTTCGTTTTTGGTGGTATGAGCTAAAATTACAGGGGTCAGTGCTGTAGAAGGAACGTCATAGGACACAGGTAGACTGTAACTTAGGTCTAGCACTTCCACAAAATGCAGTTGTTTATTACATAGCTGTTTCAAAGAGAAGCATGCTTTGTAGCTGACAACTTTTCTTCTACTTTATAAAAATTATTTAAGTCAACTGTCCATATTTCTTTTGTGGGAGGAAGTTGGGTTTTTTTTAGTAGGTTGTCTTCTTATTGCATTTGCCAGAAGACAAAAGTAGCTGTTTTGGGGGTTTTCTACAGCCACCAAAAAGATATTTTATTCTACTAATCAAGATCTTTTTTCATTTCCTGTTCCTCAGGCTGGCCTGGGAAATTGTTTCTGTCTAGAGTTATAAACGTATTAAAAAAAATTTAAAATCTAAACTCAATTTGGTTGACCATTTTTCAAATAAAAATATTTAAATGTTTTCATGGAGGTACATTGTTTTGCAGCTACATCCATGACATATATTTTAAGTGGAGCAAATGTCTTAAAAGGAAATAATTTAGTCTAAATTATCTTTTTGTAGACATCAACATTTATGTTAAAGTTTCTAGACTGGAAATTACCCAACTAAGTACTTGTCTGTATCTATTTATTTACTCTCAGGTATGGTGGAATTCCAGATTTCACCCACCGACGTGTGCAGTACTTGGAGAAAAAAGCAAAACTCAAGTCCAAATACTTGGATATGCGTAAACCAAGGAAGAGCAAAAACACACACATCTTCTTCATGGAGGAATCTGAAATGACATGCAAAAAAAGCAAAACTTTGAAGAAGGTAGTTTTAATTGTTAGCATTGTTGTAATTCATATACTTGTCTGCTGTGAAGCCAGTTGTTAGTGCTGGCATTTCAGCAGTGACAGAAAATGTTTGTGTAGATTAGTATATTTCACGTTCTTAGTAATTTTTATCAGCGGTTTTGCTAACACCTCTACATGCATTTGTTTTCAGCTCTAACTTTATGCTTTAAAAAAAAAAAACAAACAGAAATTACTAACAAGTAGAAACACTTGTTCACCATAGATTTTACTCCATTGAGTCTCTGAAAATATGAGGGAACAGATTTTAATGTTACTTTGCCTTCTTCTGGATGCTTGGCATTCCCTGACACCCAAGTGCAAAATACTGTTAACCTGGTGGTGACAACGCATGTTGTATTGAACTCCAGTCCCATTGCTATAATTTTTGATTAATTTTTGATCTTGTACCTGGGGCCAGTATAGTTCAAGGGCAGCTTTAATTATGTGAAGGGAAAAAAAGTTAAAAATTTCCTCAGACTTTCAGGTAAGGAAGTGGTCCAGATCTAGAGCCACTCAGAGCAACTGTAATGTAAAAGGGAGCATCTGCGTGTGCCTTTGAAGAGTTTGGAGTAGCATCTGCACGTTGGTTAGGAGGTAATGTCGAGCTCTCTGCTGTACAGCAGAACCCTTTACCACATGCACCACTGGGTACATCTTGGAGATGAGGCAACTAATGTATGAAGGTAATTTTACCTGTTTATGCTGAAAATCTTCTCCCTAAGAGTACGTCTGACTGCAGATTGGACAATAGTCAATTAAAAAGTAGTAGACTTGGTCACCTGTGCTGTGACAAGTCTAACTCTTTATGTTTCAGAAAAAAAAGAGGGCATGTTTAAGGACTTCTTGAATGTTTTGACTCTGGATATTTTACTGTTTCCAAAATACACATGGTAGAGAGTACCTGCAGTGGCAGGTGCTTTTGAGCTGTGAGGCTTTTAAATTGCGTTCTAGGTACCTGGGAAGCAATACCGTCTGATTATCTGTGATATTTGACAATTGCAGGTGGAAATGTTCCTGAAGCAGGTTAGTAAACCTGAGGAGGAAGCTACATCCCAGCCAGCCATCCCTCAGGGTAAATCGGAGGCACTGTCTGTGAGCAGCAGCGAGTCAGAGGGTCAGGAAGGCCTTACTGCCACACAGGCTGTGACACTGAATGCTGAAACCCAAAAGCCACCATCTTCCAGTGCAGCCTGCACAGAACCTGGAGGGAGTAACCTTGAGGAGGAGGAGGCACGGGATGCTGCAGCGAGTGGCTCCGATGAGCAGGGTGCAGCGAGGCCAGAGTGTGGCGGTGGGCGGCAGCTTGTCCCTCTGGATATTCCAGATTATCTCCAGGCAGACACAGAGGACGTCAGCCAAGGTACATCAGTTTCCTACAAACCGGTGAAATGAATGGCAGTGGACTTAATCTGCCATCCCAAGTTAGTGTTGTGCACCACTTACTTATTTTGTTTACTTAAAGAAACATGATTGAGAGCTGTGATAGTGGAAGCATGTCATTCCTGGAGTGCCAGAATCCCAGATCTCGTCTTTAATGTTGACATTATTTCTTTATAGATAAATGGTAATTGTTGATCTTCAGCGCGGTCTAGCAGGTTTCTAATTTATGCCTCCTTCCCCCTGCAAGGATGAGGGTGATTAACTTCAGGTAGCTGCACAGACCATCAAGGTTTGGGTTCTCAGATGCACAGTGCTGAGCTCCATGTGTTGTTAAAATTATTTTCTAGGGAAAAAAAATCAATATTATGAACTTTTCTATTTAACACTAAACAAAGGAAAAGAGGATTATTCAGGTTTTTATACATAGTTAATCCTTCCTACGGTAATTCAATTGTGTTAGATTCCTAATGTAAAACTCTTGTCTAGATTAGTTCTTATTCTTTACTGATACAAGGGCATTAAATTGGTCTCTGATCCACTTGTTTGCTCACTACAGGAGTTTATTCTTATCAGTTGAAGATTAAGGCTCTTATATGATAGGTGAATTCTTATGATTTTTAGGGCTGTGACTGATCCCTTGAAATACAGGATGCTCTTTTTTAACATAAAACCACTAATCTGCATAATCTGGCAAACAGTAATAAAGGACATTTAGCAGTATTTTTAAACAGGATCATCTTATATCTTAAGTCTCCCCTACCTACCAGTTAGATTCCTCGCTTACAAGAACAGTAACTGTTAACTTTTGCAGTGTCTTCCAGCCGTAGATGAAAAAATTACCACACAGAAGAAGGAGAAGAAAAGAAGAAGAAAGAATAAAATTGCACTGAGATCTATACCTGCTGAGATTGCTGCTGATCCAGAGCTGGTCAAGTACTGGGCACAGCGCTACCGGCTGTTCTCTCGGTTTGACGAAGGAATTAAACTGGACAGAGGTGTGTTTAGTACCAAGCGTGCTGACTTGGTGGTATAACATGTATCCTAACCTGTGGTCCTTCTTACAGTTTATTACTAATTTTCTTAAAGGAGGAACTTTACTGAATGTGTGTTTGCACCTCTGGATAAATTCCACCCCTCCCAGCAGGCAGGTGAACAGAAGTCTTGGACTTCAGAAGTGCTTCCACTGTGGGACACCCCTATCTGCATTAGTCCTGATGTTTGCTGAGGATCATACTGGACCCAAGTTATACTTGGTCATGACTTTTTCAGAAACTCAATGACATTTTTCTATTTCTATTTTTGTGAAACTTCCAAATATGCTGATGGATCCAGTTTTGTTGTTTTGTTCTGGCTTTCAGCAGTCACTTTCAAAATTACTTTTTTCCATTTTTTTGCATAGAAACCACTTCAAATCATAGACTTATAGGTAAAAGAGGAATTAGGATTACCATTCATTTTGTTTGTTGGGTTTGTAAGCCTTTCATTTCTAATGCTCTCCCTCATAAACATGCAGATTATTTGGCAGGCCAGACATTGTGGTGAAGAAAATAACATGTCAGATAAGAGCGAATATTTCTGGTTTTCTTTGCTATAGAGCATAATCGTGATGTATAAAGTTTTTCATAGCTGTGTCTGTGGACTTGTCCTTGATAAGCCAGAATCCTCAGCACCAAGTTGAAAAAAGCGCTTATTGAGATCAAGGCATATCTGTTTGCTTCAGTGAGGCTTTGTTTGCTTAGCAAATCGCTGGACTGACCAGAGTTTATCATCTTCAAAGCCTGTATTTCGTGGTCAAATGCACCAAGCCAAAATTCTTGGGATTAATGCTAAACCTTCAGTTTTATGTGGGGGTTGGTTGGTTGTTTTTAAATCAGGTGACCTTGAAATAAAAGGCGAAAATACATTCCTTCCCTTTCCTTTGCAGAGGGTTGGTTTTCCGTTACTCCTGAGAAAATAGCTGAGCATATTGCAGTCCGTGTTAGTCAGTCGTTCAACTGCGATATCATAGTGGATGCGTTCTGTGGGGTTGGAGGAAATGCTATTCAGTTTGCATTGACCTCAAAAAGAGGTAAGTAGGTGTTGCATATAGCATTATTTTGTTTCTTCAATCTTTTTCCCTAAAAAACTTAGGTATGTGCTTTGTTGGCTGATTTTTTTTTTTTGGTGCTTCTGTAGCAACAGCACCTTTTGTTGCTTCATATGACTCACAATATGACCTTTCTGTTTTCAAAAAGGGCCTATAAAACTGCTTTTCGATTTTAAGTCAGAGTTGGATTTGTGTTTTTCTAGTCAACGTTATTTTTACGTGGCGTAATATCTAGTCTGTAGGATATTCTGAAGTTTGCCAGTAAAAGTGGACTTCTATCAAAGCTGCTACTTTTCTCAGTTGTTACTCTGAGTCTGTGTACTCAAAATCAGGTTACATGTGAATTGTACTTAAAACAGAATCACCTGCAGGTGCAGTAGAACCAAATACAGGAGAGTGATGATAACTTAGTATTAGGCTAATGCCAGCTAATGGAATTGTAGTGAAATACGTTCCTGTAAAAACATTTCCTATTGATGTTCACCTGCTCATCAAATGCTCTGGTCAATTACAAATTCATCTAACTCTTCTGAATAATTTCTGAGCAAGATAAGTAGTAGTTTTCTACTGCATTAAATTTGGTAGGCTATAATGCGTTCTATAAATATTTTCTAAATTTTACTTAGCTTTTTGTATTTCCTGGCTAAATTATTTTTATTCTTACGCCCTTGAGCTGTGCTAGGTGTGATCAGCTACAGATAAATGTTTCTTTTTAACCAAGGGGAAGAGTAAGTTTCTAACTGACACCCTGTAAGTTGTCAGGCTCCTGCCAAAATTGAAGCAAGGAGGACTTCCTCTCTTAGGTGGAGAGCCTTACCCACTATTGAGCCAAGATGCGGGGTTGTCACAGTAGCAGATGTTTGACTGCCAAAAAGTAAAGCTTCCCAGATTTGCAGCAGCAGCTGAGCCTTCCCAATCTTGGCTGTGTGGCTTCCCTTGTTGGTTTGTAAATTCAGCCATTCTGCTCTTGGCAGGTCCTTCCTCTCTGAGATGCTGTAACTTCATGTCTACCACGACCTACAAAACTGAAGTAGTCACCTCGCAGCAGTAGATTATGGATGTGACCTGTATCTGGTGGCTGCAGAAGGACACCTTCCTTCTGAAACGTCCTGACCTTGGTTGGGTGGCGCTGGCAGTTCCCACTGACCTGCGTGTTTGCTCTCTCTCTCTCTCTCCCGTGCAGTGATCGCGATCGACATCGACCCCGAGAAGCTCAGCCTGGCGCGCAACAATGCGGAGGTGTACGGCGTGGCGGACCAGATCGAGTTCATATGCGGGGACTTCATGGTGCTGGCTGCCGACCTGCGGGCAGATGTGGTGTTCCTCAGCCCGCCCTGGGGAGGGCCTGATTATGCCACTGCCGAAATCTTCGATATCCAAACCATGATTTGTCCGGATGGATATCCTTTCCAAGTTGTGCACTGTCGTGGTTGTTAGTCATCTACTAGTGGTTTTCTCTCTTTCTTCTCCCTCTCTTGACACGGGGTTTGCACGTCTGGTTGCGTGGAAGATACGGTCAGCAGCTGAACTCCCAGAAGTGCCACGTTTGTTTAGTTCCCTTCCCCCAGCCTCAGCTATGTGGCTTTGACCATCTAAATTTAAATATTTTTATTAAAAAAAAAAAAAAGTGATGAGTTAGTCTTAAAAGTAAAAAAAATCCATTAGAGGATTAAGTAGCTTCTTAATTTAAAGCATTAATTCAGGAGTTTTAACTGCTTTATGTGATTTTATTAAAATACCCTGAAGTAGGGTATTTTATCAAATTATTATATCAAATAGACATGTGGTATATATAGATAGATAATAATTAGTTATGTGAGCTATAACTTTGTCATTAATTCCACTTTTTAATTGATTTATAAGGGGAAAATCTTATTTAAAATATCTTACTAAAACTGTTCTCAATCATAGCACCTGCCTGTGACTTGGGAAATCACAGAAGAGTGCAAGCAAAATATTAACACTTTTAATTAATGTATAAAATCCCATGTTAACTTATTAACAGTGCTATTGAGCATTTATTTGGAAAGGTATCAGCAAAATAGTTTCATCAAATATGAAGTGTGTGGGGGGGGGTCTTTTGCCCCAGAATAATCTCATTTGTTTCCTTTTTTGCTAAAATGTAGCTGTATTTATAAGAGTAAGAAAATCTTTGTGTGCATGTGTGAGAGATGCCACAAAATGGATTAGAAAACAAATGTAAACCAAATGTATTAGCTACAAACTACGCTCAAATTTCTCAAATACCTCTATGTAGTTCAGTTAAATTTTCTTAAAAAGTGAGTGTTGGGGCCTTTTTTCTGCTTTCCAGGGCACTAATGGTAAACTAGAATTTCTGCATTTAGACGATACTAATTTCTGCATTTCAGAAGAGATTCCTACTCAAACACTCAGAAGACTAACTATAATTTAATTACAAAATTACTGAATTTGAGTCATACTTTAAAAATTAATGAATCTAAGTAATTTTTCCTTCCCCATTCTTGTTTTTTCCTTTACTGGCCTCTACATTTGAAATTTTCAGGCTCTCCAAGAAGATCACCAACAATATTGTGTATTTTCTGCCTCGGAATGCTGATATTGACCAGGTATGTTACTGGATAAGGGCTTGGTAATTAACAAAATGCTCAGCTGGCATAAAACACAGGTTATTATAAGAACAAATGTAAGACTTCTAAGTCTGTTCAGCTGAATGTGGTGTGTTAGGGTTTTTTAAGTTTGACCCTGGTGTTAAATGATTTCTCTGTTAGAAGCACTTTTGATGTGTTTAGAAATGGGAGCAGCAGATATTTCCATGATTTTGGCACTGTCGCATCTTAAAGCAACAGATGGGAGTTTCATTCAGAAGCTCCAAAGCCAGTAGCCAGACAGATGTGTGATTTTAAAAGAAAAAAGATACATTTTAACCAGCTCTTACTATGTGATAAGTTGCCAAGTCTCAGACTTTGATGTCTTTCAGTTTATGAAGGAGTTGCAGGAAATCACTGTGCATCCTGCAGTCACTGCCATCACTGATCAGACACAAATGCTGTGCCACCAGAGGTGGTACTGATGCTCTCTACACAGATGTGTAGTTCCATATGGGCTGCTTGCATTGCAGTGATTCGTGATGAACACACAGTTTGTGGCACTGGTTGGGGTGGGGGGTTTGTGTTAGAGGGTTTTGTTAGATTTTTTTTTTTAAGCATTTAGATGACTAACAATTCCCCTGAGTGTCTGGTTTAGTTTCCTCTGTGTATTTTCTCTGTTAATTAGGTCTTGTAGCTTTTTGCAAAGAAGGGATCGGTGAGATGGTTTCCTCACCTGCAGTGTGCCACAGAACTTCCCAGGAATATTTCTGCCTTTTCCAAGAACTCTGTCTGACTCAGAGCAGGCAAGGTGTCAGGCCATATGGTGGCTTGTGGAATGGTTGGTGGCAAACAGCTGGCTTGAGAAACAGGCTGAAATTCACATGGCCTGAATATTAGCACACTCTGAGCCCACGCTGTGCACAGCACCATTGCTGTGGCAGGTGATGATGATTCATTTCCTTTTTGCACTTCAGGCAGGTGAAATGTCAAAGTGGCTTATGAATCTTTGAACAGGGACCTTAATTTTAGGCATAGTTTCTCTAATTTCAACTCCCAATCACTGCATTTTATGAAATATTTCATTCCCATGGTCAAGAATGACTTTAGCAGTTTTCTGCTCTGCTTCTGAGCATTTTTTACTGGGTTTATAAACGGGCAAAGGCATCTATGTTTCACTTATATTCCCACAAAAGCATCCAAGATGCAGGCCTGCATCTATTTCTGCGGAAGAGTTCAGCACCTCTATGTGGTTGTGTCAGGTGTCTTACTACCTCTACACCTTGGTGTGATTGGCTCTGAGTGATGTTGATGTGTAGCCATGGATTTGCCTTTACACAGATGGCTGAAGAGTAACAGCTGTTGCTCAAAACCATGGCTTAGTTGTTAAAAGTAAATGGCTGTAGGTCTGAATTCAGTTCTGTTCAATGTTCCAGGCTGTGGGCTACTCTCAGGAAGAGAAATTGGCTCTTCACGCCTTTTTTTAGAGATTGTGTCAAAATGAGAAGAAAAAAAAAAAAAAAAAGTTGATGATCTGAGAGCAGGGAAAGAGAATGTCAGTCTAGCCCACTGTTTAGGGAAATTTCATAATCCTGTGTGGACAAACTTGTATTAAACATGTCCTATACTAAACGTGACCTTAGTGGATACAGTGGTCCAGAGGACACTGGTTATGGGTTTGGCTGACAACGTCTCTGGCTGTATTTAAGAATGAAGCTTCTGGATTTACTGCCATTTCATATCCATGGCTGTGAATCTCCAGAAAAACAACTTTTTTTTTTTTTCTTTAATTGTTTTTTATTAACTTCCTTAATATAGGCAGTTTTCTTCTCAGTTTGCTCACGATTTTGCCCACAGTTCTTACTTTTCTCGTGGACCAGATAGGGTGGCTTCTGCTGCAACAACTGCCTTGACAAGGGCCTGTGGGCACCACTGCAGGGGTGTAGTGATGTAGCTTGGGGTGTGAATGTACCCCATAACTCCAGGGACCTAAAAAAGCTTGATGAAGTAAACTTTAAACTTTTTGCAGAAGACTAACACCCGAAAACTGACTAACGGATACAGTGATATTTGCTGAACAGATTTTCTGCTGCCTTAGATTTGAATGGAAGCTTAAAAACCTAAGTTTGGTTTCTGATAACATTGCTCAGGCACGTAGGATTTGCCTCTTCTGTGTCTTCAGAAATTAATTTAGTATGCTCCTACACATATATACACGTGCTCCTACATATATATACACATAGGCTTTCAGAGGTAACTTAGCTTTTTCTTTTTATGAAAGAGAGCTGTTAGATAGCTAGAGGAGAGCAGGGATCCTGCTGCTGGTGAGAAAGCAGATGGTAGCTGACCTTGACTTAGATGTGTTGAAGAACTCTGTGTTCCTTGCTTTATTAAAGAGATCCAGCCTTGTTCCACACGATTTTATAGCAAAACAATGCTTATTATGTCTGGAGGCAGTGCCTTTTCTGAGTAGAGTTAGTGTTGCAAAAAAACATGGTGTTCTTTGAATTCCCTTTAAAAAATCACTGAGATCAAAGAGAATTGAATTTTTGTATTTCTACCTCAAGAGGGAGCAGCGAACCAGGGGAATACGGTTGGTGCATTTACAAGAAATGTAAAACATTTCCCTGAATTGCATCAAATTTCCTTGATTGCAAACATATACTTGTTACAAAAATTGTAATGTATGCAGGTCCATTTTTAGGCTGAATCAATCTTTCACAGTATTCTTTCTTGTTAGGGAATAATCAGGAATTATATATGTGTGCATGCACATACATTACAAAATACTGTTTTATTAATGCCTACTGTGTAGCTCACATGTGACACCCTTATTGATACCCATCTCTCTGCAGCATCTTCACCTCAGAGTCTTTCCTTTCTATAAGTTTTTTTTACACTCTTGAAAAAAAAAAAAAAAGGAAAAGGGAATATTGTAACAGAGACTTCCACAAGTGCCTTAAGAAGCATGCTTGTTGAGACAGGATGATTAAATGTAGTTTATGAAGTGTTTAGCAAGCTGTGCTCTGCCTCGTCGTGCAGAACGGAAAGTGTGTACTCACCTCAGAGACAAGGATTCATCTCAGGCAGTCCAGTCTCCTTCATGGACTGTTTTCTGTACCATGTAATACTTCTGTATCTTAATATTTGCAGCGAAGAACGGGGAGCCTGAGAATTGTTGCTGTAGGGTCTTCTTCCTAATGGTGGGGTATATTCCTATCACCTCATCGTAGGAGGCACACTCAGGTACTGTTCATCTCTCACTGATGGTCAGAATGGAGTCAGGATGCCTGATGGCTCCCCCCAATAAAGTGATGAGCCTAAAATGTTGGTGACTTTAGAGGGCATCCCTCTGCCAAGCTGGCACCTTTCTAAAGCTTGGTGTGTGGCGGCTTTCCCTCACACCATCAGGGTTGACTAAGCCCTTCTGAGAAACTTGGCAACTCCTACGTAATCAAATTTGCATCCACCAACAATTTACAAATAAACATCATCGCAGAGGATTTGCATTTCTCTCCTCTGAATACTGGGTCAGTTTGAAGAGCGTACAGTGCCAGATCTGTTGCTGCAGAGCCTGTGCCCATGTGCTCATTTAAAGTTTCGTCACCTTTGGGTGTGTCAAATACTCCTAGTCGTTGTTGGAAAGTCTTAGTTATCCTGGATGTAGCACTCAGAGACTAGACATGGCAGATGTAAATTCTCGGCTGCCCTTTGGTGGACACCACCAGTCAGTGGAAGAGCAGCATTTGCCTGCATGGTGATGAAGCATCTTGTTTTACTTGGTCTTCTAAGAGAAATATGTAGTAAACACTAGTGTTTAATACCAGTGCATTAGTCACTCTTAGATACGCAAGTGACACAAACTGTGCCCTGAAAGCAGGAGTGCATAACCCTAAGACAGTCATTTCAATGTTATATTGAGCTGACTAATCCAAGTAATATTTTAGAATACTTGAACGACATTAGCTATAAAGTGCAAAGCCTCTTAACGCTATTTGGAAGTGACAATCCAGCTTTGGTTTGTAATAAATTAAAAGTATAATCTTAACATCCTCCTGAAAAGAAAGATACGGATCACCGCAGAATGTTAACTGCTTTTAGGATTTCAAGTACGAGCAGATAAGTTGTAAAATTAACATTCCTGATCACTTGCCAATTTCAGATTCTTGTGCTATTTATAAGTCAGCTAGCCTCTGCTTTTTTACTTAAGTGGCAGGTTCCTCTCTGACAAGAATGTGGAGGGTTTTTTCCTATCACCATTAAATTGAAGGATGAAGAAACCGCTCACACTTCTCTTTTTGTCTGCAGAAACAAAGAAATGAAAAGGGGGGAAATAAAACCAAAACAGAAAAGTAAATGCTTGATCCAGATAAGTGTGGCGATTTTCTGGGCAAGTCAATAAGGATTCGGAGTATAATTTAAAATTATCTGTTATTTCCTCCTGATAGTAGGCCTAGTTTTTACTTAAAGTAAAATAGAGGAAGTTCAGCGTGTTTATATTTAAACCTGCACAACGGAGTCAGGTCTCAAGGGAGTTTAGAAGTGTTAGTAACACAGCCTGAACTTTAAGTTTCAGCTGCTAACATCATCTTGGTTTAAAGATCAGTTAAAATCTACTGCAGGCTTCTAGACCTTGATCACTGTCTGCCAGGGAAGTTTCCCTGCATACAGAAAATTCAGGAATAATTTTCCTGCAGCAGCCTGGGAAAACAGAGCTGGCTGTGGAGCAGGGACCCCCACTACAGGTGGTAGGACCTTGGGGTCCAAGATGGAGGGGAAAAAAAAAAGCAGTCAGTGTTCAGTTTTGGTGTTCTTCCTTCTGACTGTGCGGTTGCCTGTAGGCTGACATTCCTCAGAGGAATCTTACTGAGCATCATGAGCAGGAACAGGAGACGGGAGAGTATTGCATGCTCCAGTCCAAAATACGAAGTCTGCTGTCTGTCTGGAATTATTAAGCATTAAAGGTGTGCACCAGGCTTGGTCAACAGAGCGTGAATGGTGAAATTCTCACTCCAGTGGTTGTAAACATGAAGCTGGGACCAGCGCTGCCTGACGGGCTCTCCCTGCCTGCAGATACACTGCTGCCCCCTGCCTTACATTCCACGCTGCCTGCAACTCTAACCCGCACAACAGCTCTTTTCTTTTTTTTTTTTTTTGTTGCAATAGCAACAACAAAAAACTGTAACTGTTTTTTGTGATTTCTCTGCCTGTTTGGGGGTTGGGTTTGTTTGGGTTGTTCCCCTCCACCCTCCCTTAGGAAGCGACCTTTATGCTTCCTAATTCTAATTGCTAAAATTGATTTTACTCTTCCCCAGAATATGGGATTTGACATCTTTTAAAGCACAGTTTACAGCTTGCCTTTTGCCACAACTGGCTGTCTCAAATGCCAAGTACCCTGCAAACTGAAGTTCAGAATCTCTTGCTCAGCACAGCGTGTAAAATTAAGAGTATTTATCTTTGGTTCTGAAATCCTCTTATTTTCATGATTTGAGTGAGAAGGGTTTTTCAGTCCTAAGAAAGCCACAAACCACTTCTATGAGTTAAAGGAGACATAGGAGGAGGATCAGAGCCGTTAAGCGACAAGGAAGATTTTCCACCAGTATTAACAGAGCAGAGATGAGTTTTATGTGACTATTTCATGTGAATAAAAGGTTTGGGGTTTTGCCTCTTTTCCTGTGCATTGATTGGTTTACTTCTCGTTCTTTGTTTTTCAGGTGGCTTCCTTAGCAGGCCCAGGAGGGAAAGTTGAAATAGAACAAAATTTTCTCAATAACAAACTGAAGACAATAACAGCTTATTTTGGTGATCTAATAAGAGATGACATCTCCTGAACTCAAGTGTGGATTCTTCCAAACCCAACCTCCCTGACTGCTGCTTTGCTTAAGCTTTTGTACAGCTGACTGGTCAAAAATGACTTAAAGCCATTTTCCACTTTAATTTCTGTTTACAGAAATTTGTTCTGTTTATTGTTACTGTCAATAAATGTTTTATAATAATTTTGACAAATCTGTAAATGTAGAGAAGCTGTGACTGTGTGAAGAAAGTTCTTTATACAATGCAGTCCTGCAAGGTTTGAGGCCCACCCATGGAAGGGGCACTCATAATTTCTTTGCAGCTCTCACAGGTGCTACTTCTGTGCTTGATCTGGTTTTAAGCATCCAGAGGGTCAAGAAGAAAAGCCTGAAAGCCTCCAGGTGTTTCAGGAGCTGTCACTGTGCTTGAGAAGCGTGTCTGAACATCAGGTGGAACAAGATGGTCATGAGAGATTAACCCCAGTCCACCTCTATGGCTCCATGCTCACTGGGAAACCTTTTCAGGTTTTCTTTGTAGTATGAGGGTTCACACGTTACTTCCACTGAGTGCTCTGGTTTGTTGCAGCACTAGGAGAGAGCTGGGCCTGTTTGTATCTGGAGGCAAAGCTCTACCCTTTGGGTTTTGCTGTTTTATTAAATTTTATTTTTTTTTCTTCCTTGCCAGTCCTCTTCATGGTGATGATATTTTGAAGAAACCTGACTGGAGGTTTGTATCAGTAAATAGAGGGGTATTTGTCCCCCTGTTCTTGAGGCATTTTGGATCCTCACACAGGCTTCAGGGAGGGCTGAGGGAACCCAGCGCTTCCTGGTGAGGCCTCCCTGCTCCCACTTGTGGTTTGGAGGGGAAGAGTGGCTTTTGACCACTTCTCCAAGCAGAAAAGGAGGCAGGCAAGAAGTGCCTAGGGCATGGATATGGCATTCTCACTGAAATGCTTGTACAGTAAGTCCCCAGTCTCAATGTTGAGCTTGTTTCTGACATAAGAGTGTAGGAATAGTAATTTCTAAGACGAATTGGTGCTGCTTCTCCTCTGCTTGGAGTGCATCAGGATGCTGAAGGCAGCAGAGACTAAGCACTAAACCATGCATTAGCGCTATCAAAGTATAGAATAACTGTGGAATAACCAAATAAGAGGATCTATTTTCCCACTTAAGGAATGAAACCCAACTCTTCAAATCATTCAAGAGAATGAAGTGTGTGCATATGGGAAGTTAAAAAACATATGCAGCCTGACTCAGTGCAAGTTCACAGTGCAGTAAAATAGCACTTGGGAAATAATTTTTTTTCAAACTCTACCATCCATCCGGTACCAGACAAGTGCTAAACTGTTAATGACTGTTACATTGTGCTTTATGCAATTTATTTTAGTTTACTTGGAAGATAATTTGGCTAATTTGCATCACTGCATTTTGTCACAGTGCTACAGCAAGGAGGAAGCGTTGTGATAGTGCTGGGCTCTGTATTAATATTTAAACGGAATTATTAAGGAAATAGTATTTCTTAGAAGTTTGCTATTAGGTGGTAAGGGAGGTTGGCAAGAGTTCTAGTATTACAGGAGCTCCAAGTCTACTGTGGCAGTGGCATATGAATGTAATGATGCTGTTAAATTTTGACTACAAGTCACAAACAAAAATCCAAGAAAGTCATGAGGCCGAATGAAAATTAGATTAATTTATACTGCGTATGTCACAGTACTCTGTACACTAAAATTTTACTGTATTTGGCTTATTGCTGCTTATATAAATACCCTTATTATTTGATCCTCTTTCCCTCCCAAAAGTTAAAGAGATGCTTTAGAGGCATTTTGAGATCTTGCTGATGCTACTTCTATAAAAGGAAGTTCTGAGGAGGAAAGGCCCCTGACTTTACTTTTACTTTCCAAAAAGTAGTTCAGTGCCCAGTATACAACAAAATGGGGAAGCTGAAATATAAAAGGGATGTCATTTACTCTTTAAATGTTTATGTCCAGGATCAAGAACCTAGTGGTAAAAAGGAACAATTTCTCAAAGGTCTCTGCTGAGCTTTGCAAGCACATGAAGCATCAAAAGCAGAAGAGTGTCTTTGTTCATAGCTGTTCCTCTCTCTAACCAAGAAGTACAAAAGATCTTTTTTTTTTTAAATACAACTTGAAGTCAGAATACCCTCTGCTGGTTTGTGATAAGTGTTTGCCCTCAGCTTTCCGCTTGCACAGAACTGGTGAAGTTCCCCAGGGCTTTGAATCTATCAATCTGTTAAGCCTAAAATACATGTATGAGTGAGTATTTTTACTTTTTTGTTAGTAAATTCAACCAATAAGCACTTCACAGAGGACAGCCTAAATCATGAGAGTTTTTATAAAATTTTATTTTCCTTTTTATTGCAGAAAAAAGGTAACACAGGCTGAGATGCTGTTTAATTTCTGGACAGCCAACGTTTGAATACCCTTTTGGGATTAAAGTAGTATTTTGTAAATGATGCGTTGGGCAACAAAGAAGTTATATTGTTACTGCAAATACTGATAGAAGTTTGGTCGTTTACCCATTTTAAGGTACAGAGTAAGCTATAGAAAAAATACAGGCTTTTGGTTTGAAAGTTAACTAATATTTGGACTAAATGCAATAAATGCGTATGGTGTTACAGTTTCCAGTGTGCTCTTGAACACCTCTCTTTCAGTTTATCTTAATTAAATCCAGAATTAAACTAAGCCAATCAGTTTCTTTTCCTAGTGTATGATATGAGGCGAGGCAATGGAACAAGGAGTAAGTGCATTAAGTGCATTACAAGGCTGAAGCTTAATTTTAGGTTCAGGGGGACCAGAGCAGAGCATTAGCGGGGCTGAGCACCTGTCTCTTCACGGTAGGACAGTTAGCGTTGTGCCCTTCTCTGAAGGAGGCCCCATTATTGTTAAGGTAAAAAATTAACTGTTCCATGAAGTTTTCATTTACACGTTTTAGAAAATTTTCCCCAAGTGTAATGTTTCTGAAATAACATCTGGGTCTATATGTGCAGCTCAGGGGTTATATAAACAAATTAATGTTATGCCACAGTGATCATGGTAATGTTTAGCAGAGGGAAACCCCTTAAATAGCAGAAGGGAAAAATTACTTGCAGTAACTCATTGAACCAATCACAGTAGAAAATTGAGTCATTTTCACTTGGTTTACTCTCCGAGCTTTCATATGCTTCATAGTCAGTGTTTGTTTTAGCTGTCCTCCCCTCATACACAGTATGACTCTTGGGGATGGTCCTGTGCAGGACTAAGAGTTGACTCGATGATCCTTGTAAATCCCTTCCAACTCAGCATATTCTGTGATAAATCTTCCCACCTCCAAATACCAAGGAAGGATGATGTTACTATCATGTAGTATGAACTGATTTACCATTGCTAGTATAGCCTTTCCAATGCAGGTATCTTAGTATTCCTGTCACTGGAATGTCTTTGTGCGATCTAGAGTACTTATCAGAAGTTGATTTTCAGCGCTGAGGAAGTTTCAGATTTCTTTGTGAGGACAGAAGAAAGATCTTTGCAAGTGTGTGCTGCAGCGGCAAGGGACTAAATGCTCTAAAACCAGGCTTGAAACCAATTCAGACCCTGTTCTGTTTCAGCTGTCAGATGATGAAGCTGTCAAGCAGTCCAGCCTGCTGGATCAGGGCAGAGTATTATCAATATCCACATTCCAGCAAAGTACTTTTAAAAGTGATGCTGTGTTGATTCAGTTAAGTGAAGTCCCCTAAACACTCACATTTATTCATTAAAAAAAAAAAAAAAAAAGTAAAAGAAAAAACAACTTGTTACTTGGAGGCTGCAGAAGTTATCACTAGCTGAGAGGAAGCAATAGGAATGGCTAAAGCCAGCTGAAGTGACTGAATCTAGTGAGGCTGGAGATTCACCCAAGCAGTGAAAATCCTGGCTGCAACCATGCAGGGAGGATGCCGGAGTGAAGGCTGAGTCTGCAAACAGGCTTGTCCACTCCAGAGTTTGGTATCCGCCTCTACTCAGCGTGGTGCTGTGATGTCTCTTATCAACGCCTGAGGCTTTGTCAGTGCCTGTTGACTCTGTGAGGAGGGCTGTTGCCCAGGGTGGAGGTGGGGCAAGCAGCAGCCCATCAGAGAGCTCTGACAGCACCAGGCTCTGCTCAAGGGTGTCCTCAGCCGCGGGAATTCCCAGTCAATCTGCACACACAGCTCTGGGAAACACTCCCTGCAAAGCAAGGGTCAGCCCTGGATTTCTCCATAAAAAGACCTAAGGACTGGAGTCTTTTTAGCACATGGTCACAACAGGTGCATCTCTGGGTGTCAGGGACTGTGGTTTTGCCATCAACCCCTTGTGGACCCTTCTTCAAGGCTCATGCAAATGTGTTTTGAGAGCTCCTCCTTTCCACACTCTGAGGTTTTGGCCGGCCACCTTGCAAAGTTCCAAAAACAGAGCAAATTTCAAGGTGCTTCCCAGCAGCACAGACTTCACTGAAAACTCAAACTGTCCCTCTGGGTTTCTGAGTTCTGGGTTCTCATACCACTGAGGAAAAAAAAGTGCTGTTGGTGGCAGTCTGGGTTTGATGACAGTGCGATCCTTCCTGCCTCTCTCTGTGCCTCAACTCATTATCTTCCTTTTTCTCAAGACTGCTCTGCAACCTTCTTGTGAAACCCCTGTGGTTTGTTAGAGGAGTGTAATGGCAGCACCAAAGCTTTTAGCACTGCATAACCATGAGTACAGAGGCTCATAGTGTGCCTTTGGTGTTTTGGGAGCAATGAAATGCTCCTCAATGTTCTATCCTAAAAATATGTCCAAAGAATGGGCATTAGAGAGGAATTTCCTCTGCACAGTTATCATGTTGATGCAGGTTGAATAAACATATTTATCATATCAATGCACTACTACCTAGACCTCTGGGGGTTCTTTCACGTTGTCAGTGTCAGATACAGTGATGGTAACAGTGGCAAGAGCTTTTGTGAAAGGTGGTATTATGATCTGACAGCAAAACCTGTCCTAAGTATTCATTAAATTGTTCCAGGCACTGGGACAGCCTATGATTATGTCAAACAGGGGAGCAAATTGTACGCTCTGCTTTCCCGGTATGCGCGAACTTAATCTGAAAATCTGCCTAGAAAGGTTAAACACAACCAGCTTTGTTTAGGAGAACTCCAAACTGGCAGAGCCCATCACCCCAGAGGGCCACTTGTGAGGGGCTACCTGTGCCAAATGCCTGTGCT